GGCTGCCCAAGCTCCAGTCATCCATTACACATTCAGAATAGAGCTGAAATAGGAAAAGGGCATCATTTTAAGGACACTTCCTAAATTTGTACCACTGCTTCCACTTCCATCCTATTGGCCAAAACTTGGTTACCTGGTCATAGCTAGCTGCATATGTAATTTTGTTCTGGAAAAGCATATATCCAGATAAAAACTGAAAATTCTATGAACTATAAAAAAGGGAGAATGGATATTGAGTGACAACTTGACATCTCTGCCCCACTGAGATTTTCAGGAACAGAGCTTGCAATTTTTGCCTTGCTAAGGACCCTAAACCCTAGGGCAGTGATGGCGAACCTTTTGAGCTCGGCATGTCAGCATTTTGAAAAACCCTAACTTAACTCTGGTGCCGTGTCACATATAGAAATTTTTTGATATTTGCAACCATAGTAAAACGAAGATTTATATTTTTGATATTTATTTTATATATTTAAATGCTATTTAACAAAGAAAAATCAACCAAAAAAATGAGTTCGCGTGTCACCTCTGACACGCGTGTCATAGGTTCGCCATCACTGCCCTAGGGGGAAAGAGGAAAGATGAACATGACTAGTCCTTAATTGGTCCCCACAACCACATCCCGGCACCAAAATGTGATAGAACATTTAGTTTAAGGCTCATAATTTTAAAAATCTGATGTCATCTGCTAGATGGAGTCTGGACAACTCTCCCTGTCTTGCATAATCTGGGGCAAAAGCATCAGATTGAAAGGGTCAAGTTTCAGAATTTGATACTCACAAATCCATTGGAGGCCTGCAGGAGGCAGGTCCTTAAGAACATGAAATTCTTGGAGGCTTAACCTAATGATTCTGGGCATCCTGTGGCACCAAGAAGAGAGCAGGTTTGAGAGGACCCAGCCAACAGATTCAGTTCCAGCCCTCCTGCTTTATGTAGTTTAGCAGAGAATACAGACAAGTAATCAGGCAGTGACAGAGCCATGTGATAAGAGCTAGCATAGAGTGGTAGGGTGGTACAAGATGCTACAGGTTCACAAAAGGAAGTCTACACTGGACTTGTGAGAAACATTGACTTACTAGATTATCGGTTTATTACAAAGGAATATTTGCCCTTTGTGACTGTCTTACTAGTATTTCACTCAGCATAATGTCTTCAAGTTTATCCATGTTATAGCATGTGTCAGATCAGTATTCAAAAATCAATTGTATTTGTACAGTTGCAATAAAAAATCAAATGGAAATTTAAAATACAGTTTATAATATAAAAAAGATGGAATACTTCAGGATATTTTTGACCAAAAAATATGCAAGTATTTTACATCAAAAACTAGAAAACATTGCTGAGAGAAATTAAAGCAGACTTAAATAAATGAGACATACCAGGCTCGTGGTTCTCTCCAAATTGATCTATAGATTGAAGATGCTGAGCCAGACAAGTTCCATAATGCACTTATGAGGATGAAACTATAGACAGTTTCACATTTATTCAGTATTCACAAATAATTATTTAGCACCCATTAAGTGCCAGGCTTTGGAGACAATGTCATGAACAAAACTAAAATTACACTCAGACCATTTCCAATGAGTTTGTGATTTTTTTTCTCCACCACCAACCAATTCTCTGACACCAACTGAATATCCTACAATTCAGCTCAATTCTGACACTATCTACCTGGTAATAGTGTTAGATTATACAGGTAAAGTGCTCAGTCCTACAATTTCCCCCTCCCCCTCCATATCAGATAATAATTGCAAGTCTAGGTTGTCACCTGTGCTTCTGATCTATAGGTTATAGATTGGAGGATCCAATGATCCCCTCCTCATGTTCAACTAATTCGATAAAGTGGCTCACAGAACTCAGAGAAACATTGTACTTACTAGATTATCAGTTTATTACAAAGAAATATAATATAGGAACAGCCAGATAGACGAGATGCATAAGGGCAAGGTGTAGGGGGAAGGATACAGAGCTTTCATGCCTTCCCTCTCTGGGTTCATCACAGCTCCCCAACCTCCAATACCTTCCTATCTTCACTTTCAGCTTTCTATTTCACTGAGAAAATAGAAGCACGCATAAGAGGAAATCCTATTTCTCTCACCACCAAATCTGTCTGCCCATCTGCATCTGTATCCATGAACTCTGCCTCCCCTTTTATTTCAATGGATGAATTGTACACACTCTTATAATCGATCCTTATGATTGTATACTGGAATCCATCCCTTCTCTCCTCAAAGACTTTCCTCCTGCAACTGTCCTTTCTCTACTGTGTTGTCAGTTTTCCCCTCTCTACTGTATTATTTTATATTAGAAAACAAACATACTGTAATTTCTTCCATCTTAAAAAAAAAAATAATCTGGCCCTGGCCTGGTAACTCAGTTGGTTAGAGGTCCTCTTGACGTCAAGGCTGCAGTTGGATCCTCGGCCAGGGGACATACAGGAATCAACCAATGAATTCATAAATAAGTGGAACAAGTCCACATTCTTTATGTCTCTCTCAAAGCAATTTTTAAAAATTCTGGACCCATTAGCCACATGCAAAGACAGCTTTACTTTTCTGTTCATCTTTAAAAAGCAAAACTTTTTAAAGTATTGTCTATACTTGCTTTCTCCACTTCCTCTCTCATCCTTTTATCCCACTCTTATCAAACTTCCACCACTATGTCAAAACGGCCTGTTTCAACAACTTTCATGTTGCTAAATTCAATGATCAGTTCTTAGTTCTCATCCTAGTTGACCTATCAGTAACATTGAACACAGCGGATCACTCCCTTCTTCTTGGAATGTTTTCTTCCCTTGATTTTTCAGATCCTAACTCTCCTACTTTTCCATCTATCTCACGGATTATTCATTCTCAGTCTTCTTTGTTGGGTCCTCTTCATTTCCCTGACCTAAGCTACTGCATTGCTAGAAGAAACCAAATTTGAGTCAGGGTAAATTATTCTCTTAGCATACTGCTGATTTAGATTTTCCAGTATTTAAAAATTCTGATGTCTATATTTTTAAATAAAAATGATATGCACACCTGCTTTTTTTGTGGAGAGCATGAAGTTAGAATAACTGACCCCATTTTGAGATGTGGACTCTACCCATGTCCAGGCAAACAGCCAAAGCCTGGGCATTTAACCAAGGGAGGTAACCAATAGATGACAAGAACTTAGAGGACCAAGCGACTACCTAGGGTCCCCGCCTGATCAGGCACCCTGATACTACCCGGGGGTCAGTACATCGAGTTATACTCGCGGCCAGAGTGATCCCCACACTTTTAAAAATGAGCACGGCTCTCAAGACGGCCCCAGAGATACCAACCCTGGAATTTACCCCAAGTGAGGTGGAAATAGCTGAGGTTTTCCGGAAACTAGCTCCACGTGCCTTATGGGAAATGTAGTCTCGGATGGGTGGCTTACACCGCGGGGGAGCCTGGGAACTCCAGGTGGGCTGTTACTTCCGCGTACGCACGGCGGGGAGGTAGCCAGCCTTCGGTAATCTTCGCATCCGTGTAGCGTGAGTGACAGTGGGTGTTGCTCCCGAGTCTCTGGGAGGTCTCTGTAAACTGATGTAGGACTTGGAGCGAGCCGGAGTGGGAGCGGAGCGGTGAGACGCTGACGGGCACGACCGAGCAGACTAAGGGAGGGCGGGGACAAAGGCAGGCGCTGGGTTATTGGCTTCCCCAACCGAAGATAAACTCAGCCGTCCGCACACGCGGTCACTTGGTGTTTGTGTGCCTTCCCGTTCTGAGTAGTTCAGAGAGAGCAAGCGCAGGGCTCCGACCGCCCCTCAGTGGGTTCCTAGATCCCGGCTGGGGCAGGGGCAGGGGCAGGGGCAGGAGCAAACTTAGTTTGCATTCCTGCCTTCGCTGGTAAAGCTCACTGTGTAGGAAGGAGTCTGCATCAAACCACCTTTCTTGGTTACAAGAGCACCGTTGGCCCTACCAGAGCCTGCAGTAGGAAATGTTAAACCGTGTCAGGGGATCTGGGAAGAAAGCGTTTCTGGAGAAACTGTGTATTCTCACACAACCATCACCTGAAGTAACTTATCTTCATTTTACGGCATGAATTAACTAAAGCTGAGAGAGGTGAAGTGACTTGGCTGGACTCCTATAGCTTAGTAAGTGGAAGAGCTGAGATTTAAATCCAGATGAGCCTTCTCCAAATGTCATTCTTTTTTAGAAGATAGCACCCTGCAAAAAACCAAAGAGTTGGATTTATTCTTCTTTTGAAATATTTGAGCAGTGAATATTGAGTAAATTTCGATTTGTTGGCGTTTTTTAAGGGGCACTAGGTGAATCTACAGATCTTCTAGTGAAGATTATGTAAATAAAGCTGTGACTCCCTTGAAAGGGCCAGCCGGGCACGTGGCCCCGCAGGCGTCCGGCGGGGAGGACGACTGGCCGGGGGCCCCTCTCGGGCCCGTGAGATGCCCTGGCGCTGGGGGGCCGCATCGTGGCGCCTCCTGGCGCGAAGGGCGCCCCGGAGCCGCGGGTCACCGCGGAGACCGCACGCTGACCGCCGATGCCTCGGGTCACTCGGGGTCAGGCGCGCGTCTTCCCGCCCCGCGGCGCCGGGCAGAGCAGGAACATGGGCGGAAGGCGGCTCCGGACACGCCGCGCTGCGGGCGAAGCCCGGCCACCGGCGGGGCGCATGGCTCGGATGCAGCTCGTGGCCGCCGGGCTGGGGCTCCGAGGCTGGGCGGCTCCACTCTGCCTCCACCGCCTCCAGCGCTCCGCGCCGGGCCGACAGGCCGCTGAGAGGAGCTGCGAGGGAGGGACGGGCAGCCATGGCCGAGGCAGCGCCTGACCAGATAGGCGCAGGCCCGGGGACGCCCAGTCGGACAGGGCCGCCCTCATCGGCCTCCGAGTCACTTTCGGGCCGAGCAACCGGGCGACCCAAAGGCCAGGCGGGTTGGTGGGCGGCCGCTTCCCGGTGACGCCCACGGCAGGCCTTGCATGGGAACCGAGTGGCCGGCTTCCCATCTATTAAGGGACCTCTATTTTGTACAAGACCATGTGCTCAGCAAAGGCTCCTTCCCCCTGAAGGAGCCTCTGCTAGCCACACCCACCATTTCTCTGGACTAACCAATGGTAATCAAGGGAAGTGCAGGCCATCGCTATGACCACATCCTGTGTAATGGGACACCAGCTCGCACCTGGCCAATGGGGGGGGGGGGACAGCCCCCTCTCCCGCCCCTACTCCAACCCTCTATAAAACCCCTGGTTCGATCAGACTGCTTTCTCTTTGCCACCTGCTGCTGCGTCAGTAAGGAAGGTTGGAGAGCCAAGCCCGGGCTTGAAATAAAAGACTCTTTGCTTTTGCATCGGACTGGCTGACTCCCTGGTGGCTTCTTGGGAATCTTGAAATCTGGGCATAACATCCCTCTTGCACATTTTAGTCTTTCTAGGGCCCCAGATGTACTGGTTAGAATTGGAAAAAGCCCAGACTGCATTCATAGGAGATGGTGAGTTTCCAGAGGGGGTGGAGGTGAGGAGAGAGAGAGAAACAGTTTGGAGTCTAAACTGCTTTAAAAAGAAAAAGTTCCTGGGTCTTTGGATTTAGCCTTCTCAATAAAGTCAACCTAATTTGAGATCTCTTACACCAACTTCAGAGTAGACACCAGAGAATCACAAGAAGGAATGACTTCCAGAGACACTGAGCATCAGAGACCAGGTTTTTAGTTAGTCTTTTAACTCGTTTATTATTATTTTCTTAGGATACATTTCAGGGGGGGAAACATGCCACTGGTTCAAAGGTTAAACAACCTGCTCTTAGTTCAGTAGGAATGTATAACATCCATATATCCATAACAGAATCACAAGTAGACATCGGTGCTGATAAAATAGGGGCTTTTCTGACTTGCTAGAAATATTCTCCCAGTAGGTGGCATTCTCGGAGGCTGCAGAGTGGGTGCTTCCATTCTGATAGAGCAGGTTCTACATTGCAGTCCTGGTTTTCCATATTCTTCTATTTACTTCCTAATTTTTACTTTCATAGATCTCTGTGCAAGAGTTGCAGAAGATGATTAACTTCCAGGTAAGAAATTCCTTTATTCAGTCATTTAAATCTCTCAAAAGTCCATATAAAAAGAAAATGTATAGTCAGGGAAAATGTAGATTAGGTCCAAAAGGAAATTTAGAAAATAGGTAAGTTGATATTCAGGTCACAGGGTTTGCACATAGCTGGAATAAATTTGAGTTGCATTTGTGTGCTCAATATTTCTGGCCATCATAGAAAGTGGATAACCAACCAGTTAAAGTATTGGCTTTGTCTGTGAGGATAAAGCAAAATAGTTCCCCAGGTAAATAAAGGTTTTCCTGGCACAGTTCTTTGAAGAAAGTATCTTCTAATGGGCTTTCATAGAGATAATACTAAAAACATTCATAGCAAGAACCCAATGAAAAATATAATATCAGATTTCCTATGCCATTCTTAGAATGTTCCCTAGAGTAAACAGAGAACACAGTGCCAAGCAGCTCTGTATAAACCCTTATAATGTTTATCCAGAAAAATAAGTAAAAGGTACCCTTGTACCTTTTTCAGGGTTTCCAGCTATTCTTGATCATTTTCTCTTTCTTGTGCATTTTAAAATCAGATTGTCAAAGTCCCTAAAGGAGTGTGTATTAAGTATTTTTGTTGTGATTGAATTACACTTTTAGATTACTTTGGAGAGAATGACTTTTCAATAATGAGTCATTTATTTAAATTTTCTTGTAGGTTCTTCATTATAGTTTTATAGTTTTATTATTGTATTTCTTGTACATTTTTTGTAATGTTTATTCTTTTTAAAATATATATATATATATTTTTATTTACTTCAGAGAGGAAGAGAGAGAGAGAGAGAGAGAGAGAGAGAGAGAGAGAGAAATAACAATGATGAGAGAGAATCATTGATCCGATGCCTCCTGCACACCCCATACTGGGGATCAAGCCCTCAACCTGGGCATGTTCCCTGATTGAGAATCAAACTGTGACCTCCTGGTTCATAGGTTGATGCTCAACCACTGAGCTATGCCGCCAGGCTGTAATGGTTATTCTTACACTAGAGGCCTGGTGCACAAATTCATGCACGGGTGGGGTCCGGCTGGCCCGCCCCCTATCGGTAGTGGGTGATTGGGGGCCGGGCTGGCTGGGGGGAGGGGCTGCAGGAGGTCAGCCGGCTGCAGTGTGTGTCATAGCAACTGGTCATTCCGTTCATTCCAGTCGCTTGGCTTTTATATATATACTAGAAGCCCATTGCACGAAGATTCGCGCAATAGGCCTTTCTTCCCCTGGCTGCTGGCACCAGTTTTCCTCCGGCACCCGGGACCCAGGACTTTGGTCCTGCCGCAGCGAAGAAGCCAAGTCTCTTCAGTCTTCAGTCTTCACTCCATGCCTGCGTATGCAAATTACCATCTTTGTTGGGTTAATTTGCATAGTTGCTCTGATTGGCTGATGGGCGTAGCAGAGTGACACCAATTTGCATGTTTCTCTTTTATTGGTGTGTGTGTGTGTGTATGTGTGTGTGTGTGTGTGTATGGCTATTAAGAATAGTATAGATATTTTCCAGCATATTTTCTTATTGGCTATTCTGTTATATAGGAAAGTATGGATTAATCTGTTTAACTTTATAGTCATGCACCACTTACGACTGAGAAATGTGCCATTAGGCAATTTTGTAATTGTGTGAACATGATATAGTGTACTTAAATCTACACAGATAGGCTAGTTACTTACTTTTTCTATGGATTCACCTATTCTGAACATTTTATACAAATGGAATCATACAATATGTGATCATTTGTAACTAACTTCTTTCACCTCACACAGTATTTTCTTCTATTTTATAGATAGCTTTTTATTGCACAAGATGCTGTATTGTTTATCAATCCATTAATTTATGAATATCCATATTGAATTCACTTTTTGGCTATTAATAATTCTGCTTGAACAGTTGTGCACAGGTTTTTGTGTGGGCATGTATTTTTAATTCTCTTGGGTATATGCCTATGAGGAATTGTTGGATCATATGGTAACTCTATGGTTAACTTTTGCGGAACTGCCAAGCTGTTTTCCTTAGTGGCTGCACAATTTTACAATCCCACTAGCAATGTATGAGAGTTCTAGTTTCTTCACATCCTTGCTAACACCTGTCATTATCTGTCTTTAATTTTAGCCATTCTAGTGGGTGTGAAGTGATACTCATTGTGGTTTTGATTTGCATTTTACTAATGACTAATGATATTGAGCATCTTTTCATGTGCTTATGGATTATATATGTCTTTGTAGAAATGTCTGTTCAAATCCTTTGCCTATTTTTAAATTGGGTTATCTCTTTATTGTTGCGTTATAAGAGTTCTTTTTATATTCTAGATATAAATCTCTCATTAGATATATGGTTTGGAAATATTTCCTCCCATTCTGTGTTGTCTTTTCATTTTCTTGATGGTGTCCTTTTAAAATTTTGATGAATTACAACTTACCTATTTTTTTTCTGTCACTTGCACTTTTTCTGTCATATTTAAGAAACCACTGGCTAATCCAAGTTCACGAAGATTTACTCCTATCTTTTCTTCTAAGAATTTTGGTTTTAGCTCTTACATTTAAGTCTCTCACCCATTTTAGTTTATTTTTGTATATGATGTGAGGTGTGTGTGGAAGAGTTACCCAACTTCATTCTTTTGCCTGTGTATATCCAGTTATCCCAACAACATCTGTTAAAAAGACTATACTTGTCCTCATTGAATTGTCCTGGCACTAGTTGAATATTTTAAATATGATTTTTGTTTTTATCACAGTCTATTTCTGAATCAAACATGCAGTAGTTATCATATATAACTTTCTGGAAACTCAACAGTGAACATGATATGACGATAAGAAGCTGACATGATTCTCTTGGAAGTCCCAAGTGATTCACACTTTAGTTTGAAGATCAATGTGCTATTACAGGGATCAGTGACATTCCGGGATGTGGCTGTGGACTTCACCTCAGAGGAGTGGCAGCTGCTTGACTGTGATCAGAGGACATTATATTGGGATGTGATGTTGGAGAACTTTAGAAACCTCATCTCAGTGGGTAAGGACAGTGGGTGGTAACTTCTCATCGTAACTCAGAATGCATGAATAGTGCCCTTCCTGAAGACTTGTGAAAGCTGTGAACATTCTGAAGCTTTAGTAGGTTTGGCCCTGAGTTTTAGTGATCAAAGATTCGTCATCCTCTTTGGGGGTCCGTGTGTTTATGCTTCTACCTCCCAAATGGAGGGGGAGAGTCTTTTTGTTCTAAAGACTGTTTGTCATCCTTTACAGGCCCTGAGACTCAAGGAGGCAGACCTGAGTTGTGAGGTAGTTGTTTGTCCCTAGCACCTTGTTCCCAGTTCTGTGTTGTTTCCCATGAACAGGGGGTGCAGTTACCAAAACAAAAGTGATCGTCAAGATGCAGCAAGGACAAGAGCTGCAGGTGGTGGAGGGAGAGAACCCACATTGGAGCCACCCAGGTGAGTGAGAGAAAACTAGGTAGGTGGGAGTCTTGGAATTGCTCACTGAGGGACAGGCACCTTTGAAACACTTTTCAGGAAGCATCTCTTAGAAGCCACACACGTTTGGAAGTGACTGGGAACACTTGACATAACATCATCAGGTCCCCAAATGACACTTCCACTTTCTCTCTCCCCACATAGCTGCTCTTTCTCTTTGCTCAGCTCTTGTACGAAGGATGGCCCTCTCCTCTCTCCTCTGGCTTCTCACACTGCCTACTTCTAGGTCCTTGCTTTGGTCTCTTAATTCCTAAAATTGTCATTCTCCTTCCCTCCCCAACATGATCACAGATCTTTTCCATACATCTAATTCTTAGAGCAAGCATGTCAAACTCAAAGACTAATACAGGCCAAATAAACAAGGTTTAAGTTTATGTGGGCTGCAAAAAAAAAAAAACTTCAATTTTCATAGAAACGTAGGTTTATTTTGATAGAGACATGCTGAATACAAAGGGCTGAAATAAATGAGTAATCATTAACATAAAATAATAGAACATTTTAATAAAAATTAATATTTTTTCTTGAACATTAACTTACCAGACACTGAATAACTGCAAAAATTAATAAGCGTAATGCAAGTAAACCTATTTTTCTTGTTATCTGAAAGCGAAATATTTCCTGTTGCGCACACGAAACAAGTCAGTACAAGACTAATGACATAGCAATCTGCTGCTAAAATGTTTGCTGCTAGTATTAGTGGAGAGAAATGGTGCGCATGTGCGTAAGGTGCATAAGGAAAATGAATACAACACGATTATAGTAATCAGTCATTAGTGAATATTGTAGTTCGTTATAATAATTATGCATAACAGGATATTGTAAAAATTAAGTTACGAAATTTTTATTAAAATGCTTCTTACATACCATTATATTGGCTGGGCCACAAAAATATTCGTTGTGGGCCACGAGTTTGACATGCTTATCTTAGAGGGTAGTCAGATTGTGTGGATTTTTGAAGTCTTATTCCACCAATCACTGTCTAGCCTGATTACTTTGTAGCACAATTTTATTTATAAGATAGGGATAATATTAATCCTTAAAAGCCCTATGGCTTCTAAGGCATGTTTTCTTATGATAACACCCTGAAGAGAAAGACTATCAGTTTTTCCTTCGTTATCATTGTTGAGCACATAATGGGTATTTAGTGAACATTTCATTAATTCATTGTTGTAAAGTCAGGCATTGTGGAGATATTTCTTATTCTTTCTTTCAAGAAAGCTTTTTGTTATTTCCTGAGAAACATTCAAAGAAAGAAAGAAAAAAAAACCTATTGCCTTTTTCCAGGTATGTAAATTGTAGTTGAAAAGGCAAAACATAGCCATGTAAAATATAAGTTGAGTGTGGAACATTTGTTCAGTGCATGATAACATTGCAGTTTTGTTCTAGTTAATTGTCAAAATGCATGACTTAGGAAGCAGCAGTGACTATCTTAGATATTCAGAGAAATGGAGCTTAAAAGTTTAAAGTATGCAAGGATTGGAGGAGTCTCTTTTTGAGGTCATGGAACAATGGCTCCTCCCTAAAAATATCTAAGTACTAGATAGGATGAGAGTGGATGAAGGGGGGCAAAAGATTGTAGTTATGTAGAGTCTAGAATCCTTGGAACAGCCCTGTCAGTGTGGTTCAGCCATTGAGTGTCGATCCACGAACCAAGAGGTTATTGGTTTGATTCCCAGTCAGGGCACATGCCCAAGTTGTGGGCTCGATACCCAGAAGGGCGCATATAGGAGGTAGCCCACTGATGTTTTTCTCATCATCAGTGTTCCTATCTCTCTACCCTCTTCCTTCTCTCTCTCTCTCAAATCAATAAAAACATTTTTTAAAAAGTAGAATCCTTGGAACAGAAGGTCTTTGTTGAGGACTAGAAGAATACATGCTTAGATACCATTAGTGAACTCATTATATCGCATAGTTTGTTCATCAGGCTAATTATCCTGGAATTTTCAGTTGGTTATTGTTGATTGAGGTAACACAGGACGCTGCTTCCCATTGCTTGAAGAGAGAGAAGACGGAAACCCAATACCCATACTTAGAACCACTCTATAAAGACATGTGTATTAATATCGATAGCTTACTACTCAGTCTAGCTCCATAGAGAAAGATAAGGCATGGAGCAAGAGGCTAAGGGTTTTGTGCTAAAACTCCACATGGAAGGAATCTCAGAAACAGGGAATTATAACTCCCTCTTTCTGTTTTTATCTTTTTTTTCTTCTTTTATAAAATGGAGCAATGGATTTGGGATTTATGGGGTGACTTCAGGACCAAGGCGGCTTTCTGGGGATTAGTTTGTTAGGCAGATTGAAATAGGATGTAAAAACAGTTCTTGTCAAATACAAATATGACATAGTTTTCATATATAGAAATCCAGCCAGAATAAAAATGATAGCATGCAGACAGAATCTATGCTTGGGCTAAAGATAACTTTCCCTTGAATGACCCAAAGGTCCCAGGTTCGATTCCGGTCGGGGGCATGTACCTGGGTTGCGGGCACATCCCCAATAGGGGGCGTGCAAGAGGCAGCTGAATCGATGTTTCTCTCTCATCGATGTTTCTAACTCGCTATCCCTCTCCCTCTCCCTTCCTCTCTGTAAAAAAATCAATAAAATATATTAAAATAAAAAAAAAAAAAGATAGCATGCAGACAGAATCTATGCTTGGGCTAAAGATAACTTGCCCTAGAATGACCCGTTTGGATATTTGTGTTCCTGTGCTTACAAGTAAGTGTATGGGGGAATGAATCCCAGCTATAGTTAAGTTGGAACCCTGTCTACAGATATCTCTCAGTTCTAGTTTGGATGGGGTTAGAGTACTAGAGATATAAGAATATTCCTGAAGGAAAGTGACATTGTGCCAGGTGATTAAGAGGAAAAGGAGATATGAATGAGGGAAATACGGAGCTATCCTAATACGGTAACCTAGAAATTAGGTAGTGAAGACTGTGATTCTGATCAGCCTCTTCCAAATCTAGTTTTTCCTCTGATATTTTTTCCTTTAACTCACTTGTCTCTTGGACCCCTTTCCATTAATCCGATCTCCGCAATGGCTCTCTTCATTCTGTGAGCTAACAAGGCACCCTTGTTGAGCAACCTTTGACTTCCTTTGTATCCTACTCACTGAACCTTATGCCTATTTTACTGTTTTCCCACAAGTCACAAGTTAAGCCATCTGTTCTTATTACTGTCATTCATCTGCTCCCATTTCCTTTTTGGAGTATTCTTAAAGCTCAGGAGCAAGGCAAATAGAGGATTTGTTTCAAAATGAGAGATTAGGTTTGAAGTCATATAAGTTTCTTTCTATAACTATTGATAGAAAAAATTAACCAGTAATGTTTCATTGTACTCCTTTTTAGAAGCTGACTGCCCATTTATTGATGAATCAGAGAAGCACCAGGAAAGCGAAGACAATTTTTTGAATTCAGTTTTGTTCACATTCAGTAAAATTCTGACTATGGAGAGACTCCATAGTTATAATATGAGCACAGATCATATTGGAAAAAATCATATAAATGCAAGAAAAATATCATATAAAGGCAAATCACATGGGAAGAGTTTGCAACCTACTTTAGACTTACTTAATTATAATAGACGTTATAATGGAGAAAACCCTTATGAATGCAAGGACTGTGGGAAAGTCTTCAAAAAGAAGTTTCATTTAATTAGACATGAAAAAAATCATACAAGAAAAAAACCCTTTGAATGCAATGACTGTGGGAAAGCCTATAGCAGGAAGGCACACCTTGCAACTCACCAGAAAATTCATAATGGAGAGAGACCCTTTGTGTGCATTGATTGTGGGAAAGCTTTTATGCATAAAACACAGCTCATGGTCCACCAGAGACTTCACACTGGAGAGAAACCTTATGAATGCAGTCAATGTGGGAAATCATTCACGTGGAACTCCTCCTTTACTCAACATGTGAAATCTCATACACTGGAGAACTCATTTGAATGTAAGGAATGTGGGAAAACCTTCAGGTATAGTTCATCCCTTTATAAACACTCTAGATTTCATACAGGAGAGAAACCCTACCATTGTATTATATGCGGCAAAGCCTTTGGCAACACATCTGTGCTTGTTACGCATCAAAGAATTCACACAGGAGAAAAACCTTATGGATGTATTGAATGTGGCAAAGCCTTCATCAAGAAGTCTCATCTCCTTAGACATCAGATAACTCACACAGGAGAAAAGCCCTATGAATGTAACAAATGTGGGAAAACATTTTCCCAGAAGTCAAACCTTATTGTGCATCAAAAAATTCATATGTAATATTTACCTTATGAATATGAGAAAGTCTTAGATATTAAATGTCTTTATTAAATACAGATTTCATGGTGAGAAATCTAAGAATTAGAATGAATTTGGAAAGAGTAGATTTCCATAAAAAGATAATCCCAATCATGTTCTGGAAGTGATAATAAACTATTTACAGAAAAGATCACAGAAATCATTAAATCATAAGTAATAGAGCATAGAGCACCGAAAGTAAGCATAAATTAAATAATCAAGGAATCAGTGAAGACTACATTTACTATCCCTGATTGTTTTTTTTTTTAAATATATTTATTGATTTTTTACAGAGAGGAAGGGAGAGGGATAGAGAGTTAGAAACGTCAATGAGAGAAGCATCGATCAGCTGCCTCCTGCACACCCCTTACTGGGGATGAGCCTACAACCAAGGTACATGCCCTTGACTGGAATTGAACCTGGGACCCTTCAGTCCCCAGGCCGATGCTCTATACAGTGAGCCAAACCAGCTAGGGCGTTATTTTTATAACAAATTATACATTTATGTATGTGTGAGTATAAAATATGTTTATACATAATATTAAATTATATCTATTGCATTTCTGCAGTAAGTATCACCATTTTTTCTTCCAATCCTAACAATAGCATGCAAGGGAAAAAATGTGTTTAATATGAAGTATGAATTTCAGTAATATTTATATCCATTTGCTGGCACTTTTAATGGGCACAGCAGTGTTACTGAATCCCAGAGTCTCCTCTTTAATTATAAAACTTGTTATAGAGACGTTTTCCTATGTATGTAAACACGAAAACAAAATTTAACAAGATACCAATTGAGGGGGGGGGAGCAGTTGTATTCTGTATTACAATAAGCATTCCATTGAGGAAAATAAGTATTTAAATAAGTATGTAAATAAAACATTTGCACGCTAACATTCCTGTTCTTTTTCATTGATGTGTTTACATAAGGTAAGCATAGCTCAAGTCTAACTGGAGTGTCATCTATATTTGATTTTAGTAAAGTAGGGTGTCATAATATCTTATAACTTTCAAGAAATTGACACAGGTTTACCTCCTAGGAGTGCCTGGACTTTTCTATATGACAACATAGGCAGCATTAATCAAGTTGAAAAGAGCAAGTTTTTCTGCACAGCAACTTTGCTTTGGAATGTGACATTTAAAAATATATTTTATTGATTTCAGAGAGGAAGGAAGAGGGAGAGAGTAATATCAATGAGGAGATAGAGTCATTGATTGACTGTCTCCTGCACGCCCCCTACTGGGGCTCAAGCCTGCAGTGTAGGCATGTGCCCTTGACCAGAATTGAACCTGGGACTTTTCGGTCCATAGACCTGAGCCAAACCAGCTAGGGCTGGAATGTGACATTTTTGTAAGTTCCACATATTCCCTTAAAAGAATGAAACATCCATCATTTAGGCTAAAGGTTTTATTACTGTCCATAATATTCCTTGGTAATGTCAATAACCTTTATGCCTTTTCTCGAGTGGTGCTAAAACAACGAACCTAAATTCAGAAATCGAGCCTCTTCCTCGCAGGCTTAAGCTCATTTACAACTATGTTGCATTATTTCTTCATTAGCCATTTTTTTGAAGAGTAATGTTGATTAATGGTTATAGATGAGATAGTGCTTTTTTGAACAAGCGTAATAGAACTTACAAATCTAAATTAAATCTTGTCTGTTGACAAATATTTAAAATTTCTTTTTATTGAATTTATTGGGGTGATGTTGATTAACAAAATCATGTAGGTTTCAGGTGTACAATTCTATAATACAACATCTGTATATTGTGTGTTCACCACCCCAAGCCAAGTCTCCTTCCATCACCATTTATCACTCCTATACCCTCCTAACTCTCCCCACCCCCAGGCCCCTCTGATAATCACCAGGCTACTGTCTGTGAGTTGTGTGTGTGTGTGTTTTTCTTAATTCCTCATCTTTCTCGCCTAGCCCCCTAGTCTCTCCCCCTCTGATAGCTGTCAGTCTGTGAGTCTGTTTCTTTTTTTTTTTCTTTTTTTTTTTTATTTTTCGCTAAAAGTGAGTCTGTTTCTTTTGTTTGTTTCTTTTGTTCATTAGATTCCACATATGAGTGAAATCAAATGGCACTTGTTTTTGTCTGACTGGCTTATTTCACTTAGTGCTCTCCAGGTTGATCTGTGCTGTTGCAAAGGGTAGGAAAGATTTCCTTTTTTCCACAGCCGAGTAGTAGTCCATCGGGTAAATTGTAACACAGCCTTATTTTATTTTATTTTATTTTTGTTACTGTAAATAATGCTGCAATGAACATAGGGGGGCATATATTCTTGAGAATTAGTGTTTCAGGTTTCTTCGGGTATATTTCCAGAAGTAGAATCACTGAGTCATAAGGCAGTTCCATTTTTAACTTTTTGAAGTAACTCCATACTGCTTTCCACAGTGGTTACAGCCACCTGCATTCTCACCAACAGTGCACGAGGACTCCTGTTCTCCACATCCTCACCAACACTTGTTGCTTTTTGATTTATTGATTATAGCCATTCTGACATGTGTGAGGTGATATCTCATTGTGGTTTTAATTAGCATTTCTCTGATGATTAGTGACATTGAGCATCTTTTCATGTCTATTGGCCATCTGTGTGTCCTCTTTGGAGAAGTGTTTATTGTAAATGAGCTTTGCCCATTTCTTGTTTTTGTTTTTTTGGTGTTGAGTTTTATAAGTTCTTTATAAATTTTGGATATAACCCCTTCTTAGATGTATCACTGGGGAATATGTTCTCCTATACTGTGGGTTCCCTTTTCATTTTGCTGATGGTTTCCTTTGCTGTGCAAACACTTTTAGTTTGATGCAGTCCCATTTGTTTATTTTTAAAATCTTTGGTTTCCATTGCCTGAAGCAATATATCAGGAAAAAATATTGCTATGAGAAAGGCCAGAGATTTTACTGCCCATGTTTTCTTCTAGGATTTTTATGGTTTCAAGTTTTAACATTTAAGTCTAATCCATCTTGAGTTTATTCCTGTGTATAGTGTAAGAAGGTGGTCTAGTTTCATTTTTTTTTTTTTGCATGTATCTGTCTAATTTTCCCAACACCATTTGTTGAATAGACTATCTTTACCCTATTGTATGGGTTTGCCTCCTTTGTCAAATATTAATTGACCATAAAGGCGTTGATTTATTTCTGGGCTGTCTATTTTATTCCATTGACCTATATGTGTTTTTATGCCAGTACTATGCTGTTTTGTTTTTTATCTTTTGCATATTTGTTTACTAAAAACAAAGCACATTACTAGCATGCAGGTTTAAAAGTAAGGTTACATTTATTTTGCACTGTAGAAACACTGGAAATGAATTAGCCAATAAATCCAATCCCAAGGCTCCATGCAAGGAAAAAGTAACCACATCACCACTCTGGAAAAGTTAAACAACCATGACTTACCATACACCCTAAAAGTAATTGCCTGCTGATATGTCAATCATTTGAACCACTGTCAAAAATGCAAAGTAAAATATACAAATCACATTTTATAATTAATAAAGGAAAACAATCTACTTAAGCTTGCTAAAATGTAGAGCATCACACTTTCAAGTTTCACAGTGATTAACACCATTTTATTGTTAAAACTGTCACTTTAAATATACATGTCAAAGTGCTTCAAATGCAGCATACTAGTTAAAATTCCTGGAAGGTTCTAGAACTGGCAGCTAATTTAATAAGGTTATTCACTCACAAAGTGTTTAAGAAAGAGCACACTGCCTTACAAAGAAATCTCATAGGACAAAGAAGATTCTAGTCTGATTTCAAAATTTCCTATAAATAGAGTGCTCAATCAAGTTCAGAACTGAGGTCAAGGCCACTCTGAACACAGGAATCAACAACCAAAAATTTCTGTACCTGCTTTTGGCTTATTTGGAGACCCAAAGTCAAATGTTCTATCCATCAGGTTTTCTTTGTTCCCTCTGGCATGTTCCCAGTCCTTGACTAGACAAGATATCTAAGGCAATCAAGGAGATTTGAACGTGGCAAGATCTGGGACAACACAGCAAGTGGGCATCTTTGTCCTAGGCGGTGGCTAGTTAAAATGAAACCCAGGGGAAGACTGGAGAGGAAGAGTTACAAATAGACTTCTAGTTAAAATATATGGGAGAAGTAGCCTTTGATTCAAACACCTTCAGATTACCTTTTATTCTCCATAGTTTACAGAATCAAAGTCTACTTTGGACAGCAAAGTACATTCCCAATGCTTTATGACTGACTACAAAATACACTCATTCTTTGAAAATTAAACACTCAGAAAACTTTCAAATTCATATTTGAATCTGAAATTAGTGGAGGAATGACGAGCTATATTGTGACAATTTTAAACTGTGCATTACACTTAAATCATTGGGCCCCATGGGCATTAAGCATTAAGTGATCCCTTCTTTCCCTTCAAGTAGGTATGACGCATGTTTTTTCCTGTGCATATCCCTCAATGCCCAGGTTCCAGACCATGATCAATATTCTTTTGGTATCTAATTTGGAATTTGGGCACTCTAGTGATACATTCCTCTCCTAATAGCCCTTTATTAAAATAAATGACATGTTAGTAGTAGTACATAATATTATAGACCCGTGGTCGGCAAACTGTGGCTCGCGAGCCACATGCGGCTCTTTGGTCCCTTGAGTGTGGCTCTTCCACAAAATACCACGTGCGGGCGCACATGTACAGTGCGATTGAAACTTCGTGGCCCATACACAGAAGTCAGTATTTTGTGGAAGAGCCACACACAAGGGGCCAAAGAGCCGCATGTGGCTCACGAGCCGCAGTTTGCCGAGCCGTAGTTTGCCGACCACTGTTCTAGACCATAATCAGCATTTATTTTAAAATTAGAATTCAAAGTAATTTTAAATTAGAATTAACCATAATATTATTAAATATCAAGGAAGATTATTTACTTTTCTATTTGGAAGTTATTCACTCTATTACCCTTAAGACTAAAACCCATAAACTATATTTATTACGGATTAGTGGAGGAATGATGATTTAAACTAACAAAATTAAACTATGCATTGCACTAAGATCATGTTATTAAAGGAACACAAAAGGCAGCATTAACATTCTCTATCCAGGTATTTTCTAATTTTCCTATCCCGTGCCCCCCATATGTCTTTTAATCGATTAACAGAGTTTTCCACATTTTCTAGTCTGATATTCTATTGCTTGCACCCGCCATTAAGATTTTAAAATTTGACAATCATGTTTTTCATCATTGTAAACCTTTTCTCAATCTCAAAGCATCCCGTTTTCTGCCCAGGAAAGAAATGTCACGACTGTGCTGAGTGTGGCAAGAGCTTTAGTCGGAGCAAAGATCTTCACTATCATCGAGTCCACC